GCTGGAACCCAATCGATGCTCGATGGCAAGTTGGAATGTCTACTGGGGGGCCCTTTGCTTCCTAATCTACCAGTTGGCCACTAATGATGAAGATCATGTGACGTAATCTTATTGGCTTGGATTCCTCCTTCATTCTAATTGACTTACAAACTTATTTATATTTATTTCAAACCCCTGTTTACCAAATATTTATTTATATCAAATGGCAGGCGATGATAGCTATCATTAGCCCTTTAGCTGACTTCAGGCTTCAGAGATAGTTATCATTAGCCCTTTAGTTGACTTCGGGCTTCACAGAAGGGAGGAACATTAACGTGAGAAAAATTCGACAAGGGAAAAGAAGAGCGGTTCGCAGATGTAAAAGAGACAGACAGAGACAAAGGCAGACAAAAGGCTAGATGAGTACGGTGAAAGGGGTCGAATATGACATACAGTGCGGTCATGGTAGTTTGAAGTCAGAGGTCAACTGCCAGTTGATAGACTTTTTGGCCGTTGAGTATACGTTGCCCAGGGTGCACCACGTGGAGGTAAGTCTATCGCACACCCCGAGTTCCAAACTTAAGATTTGTTGAACTTCATTTTTTAATAATTGAGACGAATTTTTATTTATTTAGTAATTTCAAATGGCAGGTGTTTTGATAGTTAACATTAACTCTTTAGTTGAAATCGGGCTTCACATAGAGGAGGATTAACATCAAAGTGACAAAAATTTCATAGGAGGGACAAAATAATGATGCACGGATGTAAAAGAGACAAACAGACGGTCACAGAGGCAGAGAAAAGGTAAGATGAGTACTGTGATAGGGTTTGAATGTGACATTTTTAAGAAGAACTAAGAAACGCCCTTAACAGAAGTTTGCATTCTCTTCTTTGTACTTACTGAAAATGTCCATGTACTTCGAAGTCCATCTACTTTGATCTCTTCATCTCTTGTTAAATTCACGTTTAAACACCTAATACGATTGTACTTTAATGAGCCAAACGTGTTAAATTAAATTAAAATCTTGTAACACACTCTGATTTTTCATATTTATATGTGTGGTTGTGCGATAGACTTGTCTCCACGTGGTGCACCCTGGGCAATGTATTCTCATACGGCAAGAAAAGTCTATTAACTGCTAGTTGACTTCGAATTCCAAATTACCATCACCCCGCTATATGTCATATTTGACTACTTCCACAGTAATCACCTCACCTTTTTTCTACTTTTGTGTCTATCTCTTTTACATCTTTGAAACACTCTTCTCTTCCCTCCCCACCCTCTCAACTTTTTTCCCTTCGATATTCCTTCCTCTCTGTGAAGCCCGAAGTCAACTAAAGGACTAAGGATAACCATCAAAACGCCTTCCATTTGATATAAATAAGTAAATATTTATATGTGTACCGCTGTTATCTACCCCATTGCTTATATTCACCGCTGGATACTAAAGCAACTGAGGTCACGAGAGTAGAAATCTCTCGACCAACCAATAATTAAAGTCATTACATTGTCAACTTACCCGAAAGTGTAAATAATGACGAAGCCCTTGTGGGTTGGAGCATGACCCGACGTGCGAGAAACCGCATATACATATACACTTCTAACGTAACGTCACCAAAATAAACGTATTTCACTTCATATGTCTGTTTTGCTGTAGATTAGCCATTCCAAACTAGAAGAACTCGTCATGGCACAAACCAAGGCCAATTAGTGTAGTAATCCGCCATAATATCACAGTTACCTTGACGCCCATAATTAGATAATTGGCCGCCTCAAATCCTATTTATACTGCAATTAACCAAGAACTTCATATAAAATCTTGCCCAATATTAACTGTCCCCTCATTTTCAATAAAACGACAGGACTGGTCAGTCAGCTGCGAATATAGTGAGGGTGGCCCCTGATGAGTCTAAGAGTTGGAACGAAAACGTGATATAGTGTCGTAATTTCTCTGGTTTTGAATGGGGAGGAACGAGGACCTGGATGAAGTTCGACGAATGAAGCACAACTAGAATTATTTTGCGTAAAGGCGACGTTTCAAAGGCGCATTCTTCCACTAATGCTTATTACAAATTAAGGGCGAACTTTTTTCACACAAATATACCAGTACTGGGCTTTATGATGGGTGAAACTGTGTCAAATTGCAGATAACGTAAACAGCTTGCAAAGCTTTCTCTCTCTCTTCAATTTACTATAATTAGAAACTCCGAGTCTTGTTGTCTCATTAGTACTCGAGATACAATCGCAAAAGTAATGAACTCTGTTACACTCTGCTTCCGCTAATTTTGTTTCCGCTTCAAAGGTTGTCGACTCCTATGCCTCGAGAAAGAACTTTATAATAGATACCTGTTTTCAGTAGACCAAGGTCTCCCTGTCTACCTGATCCGACCTGTGGAGTGTTCTATTAACTCGTATGCTTTTAGATGGGTGTCACACGTGCCTGCATTTGTGTTAGAACGTAAATTGTCGGCGTCTGAACAGAATACGCATAAAATCTGTGAAAGGAGTTGATCCCAATTTTTGCCACTCTAACTTCGTACCCGTAGAAGGAAACTCAACCCTCGTAATCCACAAGCCACAAAGTTAGCCAATAACAATATATATCCTTCAAAGGCGACTTCAGTTGCAGTTTCATACTAGTTTCTACTGATGGCCGACATTTGTAATATTCCCATGTCTGTGGAAGTTAGCATTCCCCTTTACCTATTTCTCTAATTTACTAAAGTCTGCAAAAATCCTCCCCAACCCCCCAATTAGCCGTCCCAATTTTGACCTCATCGTTTAAAATCCTGATTGATTCATTTTAAACCAAAATTTGGGTACCGGGGGACTGTAAACACTTGAGGATAAATTTCAGTAATGGCTTTTGCAGTATTGCGGGCACACTCCTAATTTTGGCAAACTTATCTACTCAACAAGTACTTGTAAAGTCGGTTCCTTCACCATGTTAAGACAAAAAAAGTGAACTCAGACATCTACAAGTAAAGTACGCGATTTCTCAATGGTACCCCGGCAAACGCTGAAACGGATTCTCCCCATTGACTACTGGCATTTAAACGAGAATCGCAGCACTTCACGAAATTTTCGCATTCTTAGAAATGAAGGCAGGTTGCTGGTCATATTGTTGCTAGGGTGGTGAAGTGGGTAGGGGTGCGAGGAGTTATATCTAATGATTTGCCTGATATAACTGCCGCTTTCTCAGTCTTGTGTTGAGTAGCACGAATGTGTAGGGAATTACAAATGCCGAAATCATATCTATGCGAAGACAATTTGCATAAATGAAAAAGTACCCCTTGCTCGAGATTAAAGTGCAGCTTCTCACTACCCCCTCCAGTAGCCGGGAGATCCCAACCGATTCGTATCTCAACATTTGCTCCCAGACATGCTCCCTAACCAATCGTCTTTCTCCTCCGCCAATATTTCGATCGCAAAAAAGGAACCCATAACCTAACAATGTTCTCGGCTAAGTAATAGTATTTGCAAAAGTGAAATGCGTGGAGACGAGAATTCGTGATAACATGTTCCTCCTAAGATGCAATTCAACTTTGATTCGACGTGATATTTCCCATCATGTTGGCAGAAAAAAACCTATAAACCAAAATATGTTCTCACCTAGGTAAAATCATTCGCAGTTATTTAGAAGAATTCTTGCATCCTTCAAATATGTGATAAATTTCAGGTCATTTTCGTACTTCGCATATTTTCTTTGAATACAGCGGACCAAGGACACTATGGGCATCGTAGATTTTGTCAAATACATTTGCCGTTACACATCTTCCATTGCCAACTCAGTAACTTCTTGCTATTTCACTAATTCAAATAACTATATGTGTCGAACTCATCCAACCATGAAGTTTAATGGGATTTCCCGATGGGAGTGTGCTTATACTACAGACTTATTGTTGAGGAGAATAGGAAGCGACTATCATACATCGCAACAGATAACCGGTAGGTACAATTAATGGTATGATTGCGTAGCATAGCAGATTAATGCAGACAGTTCTGAAGCATTCTATAGTGTTAGTGAAAGACCTAAACAATGCACTTTAGCCAATTGAGCATGTTCGATTGAAGAATTGTGCAAATACACACACAAAACAGTTCACCAGATCAGACTCTTCCACTATGGTTTAAACAGAATATGGATTCTAAATTAAGAATGAGAAAGCGGACAATTCTAGGATGCAATCATTTCAGTGAACATTCAAAAAATGAAATCCAGACTACAAGAGATACCCCTTCTTAGATAAAGACTGACAGCCGTCAAACCAATACTCAGATTGATTTCCAATATGAAACTAGATCTAGTCTTGCTAGAGATCTCACAATCGTAAGTCCTCATGAATACGAAAGCTACATTTGCAATAATAATTTCGTGCTTCAAATTTAATTGAATAACTTATACCCAAATAAACGCCACATCAGGACACCTTATAACAATAATCAATATCAAGGCACAACGATTCTAAACGTGCATGAGAGAACCACGTTCGTCACAGTAAATGAATAGAATAAACGTGGGAAAGTAAAGGGCATTTTAAGGTGAACAGTTTACTGAAAACTAACTGAAGGGACTACATACTAAAATGCTTCGACTGGTCCTGGGCAAAAATCGATAAAACTAAAAAACGCATTCAAAGATTTGTAACAGCATTCAGTACAAATACAAAAGAAAACGACTACGGTACATAGAGCAATCATTTAAAATTAATAAACCATTACTTTAGAAATCGGCAAAAAAGCTAACAAATCAAAAATGGGTATTAAATAACCAATTTGATCGGACAAAGAAATTTAAAAAGCAGAAATTTTACTGCACATGTGTAAAAAGGAGCGATTGAAGCGACTAATAAGAATAAGCTGTGAAAACTATAAAAAATGAGAAGTATAATAAAAGAGTAATACTGATCAGAACCCATTACCCATGGAGGCAAAACGCCACAATTTAGCTTTGGTTTACACCTTTACTTCATAAACATTTTACAGAATGAATATTGAAGTCTATGAATAAATAAGCAGATTAAAAAGCCAATCGAATGTGTTGGATGATTTCAAAAATAGCTACAATAGTGCGAGTTAGAAGTGAAAATGAACTCTTACCGGAACCACATACGACAAATACGATGAGACCGAGAACCCAGGCATTTACATTGGATTGATCATCATTGGATTTCTATACAAGATTAGCACAAAAGACTTTCGAATATTTACCAGTGACTTCGGAACATTACCGCGGTTCGTGATATTGTTATGAGCACGCTCATTCTGAACCTTCATTCGGTGTTTCGCACTCATTGCTGGAAACTAACAACGGGGCAAGAGGACAAATTCTCCACAAGTGGCGTTGAAAATTAAAACACGATAAATGTTAAAGTAGAACTGGAATGACGATTACATGCCATATATTCAAATAACTATATATACCTTAAATGTGTTTTTTTTTAATTCAAAAATTAAAATTTAAACCAAGAAATATTGTACAGATGCATAGCCTTCTTAGATTAAATATTACATATAACTAGCAATTTTAACGTAGAGCGCACTTTTAATTGCTTAAATATAAGCAAATTATAAGGAATTTTCAGATTTAATAATTTTCAAGGTAGCGGATTATTCACTGGAGTTATACAAAATATCAGTAATTTTCCTTGAGTAATTGATAGATCATATTTTTACTTATTTAAGTAAAGCCTCTTTGCTTTTTGAAAAAATAGGGTATTTTATTTTAAGCTTTTCATATCACATATTAATACTTATAAAGCACTGTCCCAACACCGCCCTATTTGATTTTTCGGACATCTCTTCTGCCTTGTGTTGTGATTTGAGAGAATGGATTTTCAACATCGAGTTGGGGGTAAAACTGGCTCTGGAGGTGTAGCTTCTGAATCAGAAGCTAACCGCGATAGACGTGAACGTCTTCGACAACTAGCCTTAGACACTATTGATCTTGAAAAGGATCCTTATTTTATGAAGAATCACCTGGGTACATATGAATGTAAATTGTGTCTTACTCTTCACAACAACGAAGGAAGCTATCTCGCTCATACTCAAGGTAGCTATTTTTGCATTTTTATGTATGTCATTTTCTTTTTTACGTTTTTCATTCTTTTATACCCAGGTAAGAAGCATCAATATAATTTGCAGAGAAGAGCACATGAGCAGGCAAAAGAAAGTCCAGCTACATTGCAACCAGAAAAGGCTAGAGTTGAGCCTAAAAAGTTTATCAAGATTGGTCGTCCAGGATATAAAGTGACTAAACAGAAAGATCCAGAGACCGGACAACAGTCAATGCTATTCCAGATTGACTATCCAGAAATCGCAGATGCTGCTGGTGTTGTCCCTCGACACAGATTCATGTCAGCTTATGAACAGCATATTGAACCTCCTGATAGGAAGTGGCAGTACCTTCTGTTTGCTGCTGAGCCCTATGAAACTATTGCCTTTAAAGTTCGTAGTCGAGAAGTTGATAAAGATCCTAAAAAATTTTGGACTTATTGGAATCCGGCTTCCAAACAGTTTTTCCTTCAAGTAAGTCCTGCTTTCGTTTTTTAGTTTTTTGCCAATATGTGTAATTTAATTAATCCTTGATATGATCGGGTTTTTCTTTCATATTCTTCTGAATTTAATTTTGAATGAATTTAGTGTGTATTCTTAAAACGATTTTGTTAACTTTGGAGGTGGAATAGTATAGCTATTATTACTAAAGGCTATTCTTTCGTTAAGCGGGTCGCAAATTGATGGGTGGATAAATAAAATCGTATGTAGGTTATTTAGTTTCCGTTTTCTCTTTTTGTTCGATCTGGAACATAATTTAGGTCGTCTTCTCTTTAATTTAGTGCAAGATATGGCTGCAATTATCTACTTTAATTCACAATGGGCAATCGATAGAACAAATTATGCGAGTACCGAATTACTCTCGCAACCATGTTCGTGTGATCTCTGGAATAGATTTTGCACTGTTTCAACTTCATTTGATTTATTATTGCATTCATCAGCCTATCTTAACCAAAAATTCAATTTTACACCAGTACGTCTACGATTTATGTTTGCTAGATACCAATAATATATCAGTCGTCTGCCAAGAGTATAATGCCTTCGGATATATATACTTCAAAAAATTATGTAATCCTTTAATTGACCTCTCAAATTATGTTTTTGCTATTTTGAGTTTGCGTTGACATTTTCTTTTTGCTTATATACAGTTTGCCTACAAATTGGAGAATCAACAGTCCTCCGTGGTATTGCGTGAGTTGGAGTTGCAGAAGGTTCGAGCCCAACAGGCTCAAATGCAACTTCAACTGCCGCCCCCACCTCCTCCACCACCACCAGCGGCCTCTACAATGACCCACTACAGTATGGGTGGAATGAATCAGACGTCAGCATTGCCGTTGGGTGCATCATTCGGTGGTGGAATGGCTCCCCCTCCGCCCCCTCCACCACCTCCAATGTCAGCGACCACAGTGGGACAACAGCCACCTCCGCCGCCGCCACCTCTTTTGTCTGCACCACCACCCCCTCCGCCACCTCCACCGCCATCTTCTTAGGCTGGTGGAGTTTGATGTTTGGGGCCTCAATCCTCTCGTTCCTCCTCCCGTTCCTACTGTTTAATATTCATGTTTGTACTTACAATAATGATCCAAATCTTATAATGCAATATAGTGTATTGTCTTTTGCAATGGGGAGTCACGGGCATCTCTTTCAGAAAGATGCACACATAGAATGAGATGATCATGGCGGTGGGGAGAGGTTAAATTAGAAATCACAAACGACAAAATATGATAAGATCGGGAGGGGGTGATTATCATACTCCCAAGTTCTCTGTCATTATAGGTATGAGATGCCGAAAATCCGATTATTTCCTTGAAAATACGCCCTGAAGTTTCGCAGACGTTTCCACCACTAAGTTGGTCTACTTTGTTCGGCAGCAAGACCGGAACTGGGTGGGATGCTCCAAGAAGCGTACCGACGTCCAATAGCACTATCTTCCTTACTTATTTCTATTTTCAGACAACTTCTCTGCTACATTTTCGAACACTATTTCAGCAACACAATTTCAATCTCGGGAATCAACAGTTTGGCTTGGAAGCTCTGTCACCTCCTCAAATACGATTACGTAGATTTGTGTAAATTAGCGCTAGCTTTCATAGTGGAAACCTTAAAAAGATGAAATCCCTTTATACAAAATCCAAATTAATGCATTTACTAAAGCCGCCTGGAACCAATTTCAACACTTTTCATGAATTTGAAGACATCACTTACAAAAACACGTACGACATAGGATATTGCAATATATTTATCGTTATCTTTAAGTCGGCAGTTTACTATCCTCAACCAGACGGTTTCCTGGATAGTAAACCTTGAAATTATATTCCAAATTACCAAATCTCCCTGGATTCACAAACTGACACCCTCCTAGTGGGTCATCATTTAAATCAGACGATGGTGAATTCAAAGTGGCATTCAGATCTGCAATCGAGTCCGGTTCCACAGCAACTACAAGGTCGGGAAGAGGATTCAGAGCGAGGGCCTGATCAAAAGGCCAATAGATGGGGGATATATGGAGAGGTAGGGGCGTGAGATGACCTTGACTTGCCAAGCAACGGGCCAATCCCATACCGAGAATCGAGGAGGAAGTTTCATCCCCTTTTGTTGTGTTCAATTCATCTCTCTCTTGATGAATCTCTAAGTTTTCAAATTCTTCTGGTAATTGAGTCTTAAAGAATGGAAAAAGTTGATTAATACCAACCCGGTTGTGCAAATATATTTATATTAAAGTTAAAAACCTCAATATTTGGATCAATAGTAGTTGATTCTGGAGCGGCTGTTGGTATGGCAGGACTTGGAAGATGAATGCAATGTCTAAGGAGATGCTTTGCATAGTCATATCTGAAAACGACAATTTCACGGGTGAATAGCCGGATACGACATGGATTGGACGCCAACCAGAGCCAATCAGGACATTGCTGTTGAGGCGCGGTTATTCCAAAAAGATCCAATGGAAGAGGAGGTCGAGGGTAGATGCCTGTAGGACCGATACAAGGGTCATGGGGCCCCGGAATTAGAATCAATTTGGGTTGACAGTGCCCCCTAGCTTCTGAATCACCATAGATTCGAAGAAATGTATCTGATAGTCTCTTGAAAAGTTGTTTGAGTAGAGCACATCGTTCACTAACATGGGGACTGTAATCTGGGGAGATAAAGTCTCCACAGATGAGAAATGCGGAAGGCGGAAAGTCGGCATATCCTGTAAAGATGGTCTCTAGGTGTTCAAGATTCCCAAGTGCCTCTAGATGAACTTCTCCCAAAATCACCAACATGGAATCCTGAAAAGGGGAAAAAATCGCATTTTCCAAGAATTCCTAGCCGATATCAAGTGAACGATAATACCAACCACACCACTAGTTAAAAATGTTCATGAGAATGAAGGAAGAACTAAAAACTCGCTTGCCAAGGAAATGAGGGAGCCGTGAAAGTAGTAGTTAAATTACAAATGTGTGTGCATGTGCGTTGTAAAAAAAGAGTATCATAAGCAGATGAAATGGTTTCGGATATCGTGGTAACCGCCTTGCGATCCCAACACTGAAACAAATAGGATAAAATTTTGAAAATGCATACATTGGGATTCGTGCTTCAAGAGAGTGGAATACCAGTTTCTAGTGGTGCAAGGGAACTATAACTTATAAGACCATTGAGACGCGGAGGGAAGGCAATTTGGCATTCAAGTATGTAACAGATGCTAGTAAATAATTGTTTTCTTTACAATAAGAGAGAGAACAAATTGGCCAAGCAGATGAAGAGCGATGAGCATCCCGAAATTGAACATCGTGAATAGTAAAATGGTGTGAAAGTTAATAATCCCAGAAGAAATGCTCAAAGTATTAAAAAGTTGGATTCGGTTTGACTCATTAAGACAAAGTTCAACTCTAAAATCCATTTCAATTATCACACAGATTCAAACAAAACAACTTCTGGAAACATTTCTACCATTCTGTGAGGGTTTGAGGAATAGCATTGATTAGCATAAGTTAAAAAAAAGACGGACAAAGGCAAATATGCAAAGTTTTACTGAGGATGTAAACATAGAAAAAGTGAAAATTCAAATACCGGGAGCTGAGTGAGATAATGATGTGTGAAAAGGTAATGAGATTCAATTAATTAATTAATACCATAGAAGTCTCCATTATGAATGGTAAATTTAGTTAAGGAACAGAAGTAAACAGCAGCAATTGACAAATGAACGAAGGAGTTCATAGCATAAGAATGTGTTATGACAAGCGTAACTAAAGCATCAGAAGACTCCAGACGAAAAAACAAAATAGTAAGATAGTACTTATATGCAAAATTTGAGTAGACTTACAGGCGAGGCGTCGAGTAGGCGAGACATACGATTGTCGAGGGAAGCGGGGGGCCCATTAATCCCTTGCTCCCCTCCACCGAAAGGATTTAAGGCACTGAAGTACCTTCTTGTGTCAATTGCCCGCTCAACAGGTGGAAGACCAATACCGGTGGAACGAAACACCTCGGCGTCTTCGTCGTACCAGCCCTCGGTTAGAACTACCGAGCCTTCTGGAAAAACACCCTGAAAAATAGGCAATGGAAGCATTTATTAAACATAAAGCCACAAGAGAAAAAAGATCAACTTACGTAGCCATTTTAAACTCCAACAATAAACGAAAGTTTCGGCAAAATAAAAGAAAAGCTCAATACCTATGCACATTAGGATTGAAAATTGGAAATTAAATTGAATATGAATTGCAACAGACTAATTTCAATTGAAATCGGAAAATTTTCGAAAATCTACTCTGGAATTTAAAAAATCACTTAACATACCCCGTAAAATATTATTTAAAGAAGCTTACCTTAAAAACCAAGCTGGAACAAATCACAAAATAAAGGTAGGTAAAGAAGTTTGTTGTACCTAGTGGTTTAATATTCAGGACTCAAAGTGCAATTAATTTTATCATAAAGCTAACAGATGAAATGACAAAAATACAAAAAATAAAAATGCTCTCAGTTGGAAAAAATAAAAACTAACCTGATGGAAACGTGTGTGAGAAAAGTCAAGTTTCACGAGATTAGTCACATCCTCTAGATACCATTGAGCATTTTTGAGTTGAATCAAAAAGCCAAGAATAATAACACTTGGACGTTCTGCAACAGAAAATGAATCTTCCCCGTCGTCATCGGCTTCATCACAAGATTTCCGAACTTTAGTTCCAGATGAAAGGAGGAATTCAATAGAACGCAATTTGAAGCCCCTTGATTCATCAGAGAATAGAGGATTACGAAGAACCCTTTGGAGAACAACCTCATATCGATTTGCGAAAAGAAACGATTTAGGCAAAGGAGAAAAAGGGAGGAGACTATGCATATCGTCAGTTGAATTAATTTGAATACTAACAAATTTTCGCATATTTCTATTGTATTTAAAACGTGGGGTCTAAAGACAAAATATTATGATTGGCAATTCAATTAATACTTCAAGTGCATTAATGAGAAAAATGGCATTTTCAGCGGAAGATTTATCGGATTTCCATTCTGATAGGATTTTCTCACAAACAGATTTTGTCACCCTATTACCCGCCAACCCAGAAAATGATGAAAGGACAGATTCAACAAAGCGCTTAACAACATCAGAGGTAATATTGCTTCCAAGTGTGGAAGTGAGGTAAGTTGAAGCATCGGGAGCCAAAATGAACCCGTTCAGTTTTAATAGTTTTTTAATATCCTGAAAAATCAAAAAATAATGTTTTAAAAATTAATACGTTTTAATTAAGTAAATATAGCATTCACAACCAGTTCTTGCCATAATTCGGAAATAAACTGAAGAAATATCACAAGTAGAACAAGCCGCAACTTGAATAAATCGGGATCGACAGTTAATTAAAACTACTTCCAAGGATGTCTAGGCCAAAACAAATTTCTTCATTTAAAAATTATGTAATCTATTTACAGCATTCTTTTGGCTTTTAAAATAATAAAATTCATTCAATTCAGTTTTTGAATTTCAAACCTAAATATATTTATTTTATTTATTCACTTATTTTAAAATTCTCATTTAGTTTATACATATGTTATATTTTACTATAGTTTAAATTTTTTAATGTTTATAATTATCATTGAATGATTTTAGGTCGCTTTCTCCATTTGCGGCTATTTCGTTCGTGGTTTTTGGTCTATCAGTTATGGTCGATCTGCTTATTCTCCTGATTTTTGTGACATTGATTTTTCTTATTGGTACCGTCGTTGTCTTTGCATATGTTTCCGGGTTCTTTACGTCCATTGATGTCGCAATTTCATCTGATCTTCCTTATTTAAAGGATGGTTCAACTATTTACTACAAAATCAACAAGGGATCTTATTATTCCTTAGGCAGTCTTTTTACTGAAACATATTGTGTTGCCCCAAAATTAATACAATTTGGATTACACTATGACGACCCTGAGATCGTCCCTGAGGATGAATGTCGCTCCGCCATTGGAGTCCTTGTAAATGAAAAAGAAAATAAGGATATAATTGAAGAATTGGAAAAGAATGGATTCAAGAAAAAAATTTTGCCTTCTATCGAAGAAGGGATATATGCTTCATTTCCTCATATTTCATTTCTGTCTATTGGTTTTGGTTTGTCGAAAGTGATTCTATTGTTGAGGTCTTATTTCAAGGTAATGTACTTTTTTTAATCTAAGATTCGTTAGAAAATGGACTGCAAGGAATTCACGTTTCTCGAGATTTATGATGACGATACCATCCATTATATTGGAATTACTAAAGACGCTGATGACTTTCTTGTTGAGGATTTTTACCTCGAGGAAAATGACGAAATTGTCAAAATTACCCAATCGGATATTGAAGCCGTCACTGAGGAAGGAAAGGAAAAGGCAGAGTAACTTAAAAGCTGGCTTCTTCTATTTTATTTCATTCTTTTTGTTGTAGTTTTTTTGTTCGAGTCATGTGTTAGATTATTATAAATAAATGCCTAAATATATACTTCAAATGAACCAATCTCGTAATTAATTAAAGCAATTCATGGAATTAGAGTTTGTTCCGTTGTGTAATTTGTTTTTCATGTTTGCTATTATTATTGTGATTGTACAGATGTTTAACCTCGGGCCGGTCATGTCCTTAAGTTTGTACTTTTCGCAATCTTTTTAAAAATTTGTACTTTATTGGATGGGATGGTTAAAGGTAAAATTGATTTAATCATATAAACGCGTGTTTAATGCTTTTTCATTTTTTTTTAAAATTTATCGTGCTTCAAAATGGGTTGTTTTGATAATCTCATTTTCCATACAGCTTGAATAGTTTTGTCGATTATTTTCTGGAACATCTTTTACATTTTTCATACCTCGTACTTGTGTTGGGGTAGCTTACCTTTTGAAATTTGTCCCCTAATGTGGATGAATGTTATTGGATTTCTTTTATTATATGGTGATCTAACTTAGAGATTGCGTTTTGTGCTTCAAATGGGTCCCCCTGCTTATCTTATCATGAGCCATGGACAAACGACCTCTTTCTTTTGGAACAATTTGGACTTGCTCGGACAATGTGAATGTTCGTTCGCAATTTTTCATTTCGTTTCACCTCGGTTGCAAGTTAACTGTACAATTACACTTACCGGAATTGGGTAAATCAAGTAAAAGTCTTTTGATTGGAAGTTTGGTGGGATTGCCTTAATTATTGCTCGTTAGTGTATGGGTAATGATATGGACTCCTAATGTAAACACATCAACTAGGACAGGAATTTCCCTATATTTAGGTAATCATGCTTGACACAAAATTAATCATATGTTACTGCTGTTCTTAATTCGCTATGGTAATAATTTTTGGGGTCTGGGGCCATGTACTTATTTAGAAAGAAGAAGGGGGGGGGGGAGGGAAACATGACTAACAGGAGGATCCCATGCGTGAGAAATAAATAGTAAATAGGATTAAAGCAGGGAGTAGCTGTGGTATCCATTCCCACAATGATTGATAATTTGATTTATTCCTTTGTGTGTGTGTGTGTGTGTGTGTGTGATTGTCTTTAATTTGTCGTCAACTTTATCACACTTGCCTGTCAAAAGGTGTACGACACCTTGTAGGTCAATGGTGGTTTTATTCTCATTCAATCATTTCAAATGGCAGGCGTTTTGATAGTCATCATTAGCCCTTTTGTTGTCTTCGGGTTTCACAGATTGAATAAACATCAAAGTAGCAGAAAGTTGACTGGTAGGGAACAGAAGAGTGATTCATGGATTTAAAAGAGACACAGACGCAAAGGTAGAGGAAAGGTGAGGTGAGTGCTGTGAAAGTGGTGGAATATGATATACAGTGGGGTGATGGTAGTTTGAAGTCAGAAGTCAACTGCCGATTGATGGACTTTTTTTGCGTATGCGTATACACGAAAGCCGAGTGATAGACTTTTTTGCCGTAAGAAAATACGCTGCCCAGGGTGCACCACGTGGAGGTAAGTCTATCGCACACAAACTTCCGGTTAATAGACTTTTTACCGTATGAGTATACGTTTCCCAGGGTGCACCACGTGGAGGTAAGTCTATCGCACACCCACCAGGGTGCACCACGTGGAGGTAAGTCTATCGCACACCCCTTGTCAGGATGCACCACGTGGAGGTAAGTCTATCGCACACCCCAAGAAGAGGTCAGCAACACCGGGTATTCCCAGCCGGTCACCCATGCAAGTACTAACCCGGCTGTAGTACGTTGTAGATTTCATGTAACTGTATTTAAATTTTCACTGAATGGATCTGATCTGAGGAAGTGTTCTTGTGTTTATGCTCCTCACATGTTTTCAAGCGATTGGAACAAACTTGGCAGTCTCATCAGGAAAAGGAAACAGCTTTCAAAAGAAAGTATATGGCATGGAGATTGCCAGAAATTTGTACTCGAAATAATCACCACTATAGCCTCCATTCGGTCTCGACTCTGGAGGGAGTGGTCATAAAATAGCTTTAATTTTTTATTTGTTAACTGTTCATTTCTGGTTTCGACACACGGCAATCGATATCTTTCGTTTCAATGTCCAACTACACCACTTGGATGTTGGAATTCAAGCTCTGTTTCTCTTCAAAAAAACAGAGGGAGGCGTGACATCACCTCCATCTCAACAAGGGGAGGGGGGTGGGATGGGGCTACTGGCCGAATCCCGCTACGCCACACATATTTCCCACATCACATCAACCTCGTAGTGCGCGTTGAAATTCTCCAGCTCATGGTGGGTTCTTTTCACCGTGTTGAAGGGGAGCATTAGCCAGTAACCTTGTTGTCTTTTCTTTTATGGCCTGGATGAATCGTCATCGTACGAGTTAGTCTCTTCTATACTTCGCTAAGTGGCCAGTTATCCATTGAAGTAGGCTTGAACATCTTCAACCATTTAAATAACATCCAAATAATGTTTTGAAAGTTTTTTTCTCTATCACTCTCCATAAGCCCATCCCTTAATTAATATAATGCCCATTTTTTTCATTCTAACATAGGAATGCAAAGCTATATCAACGAGGAAATAGCTGTGGAAGAGGTATGAACATGATCTTCGCTCGTTCTTCTTCAAGCTATTGCCTATTTTTATACATTTTGATTGATTTATTCCTTCATTTGGAATCTTGTGACTTAGAAGAAGCTTCAGGCTCAGCGACAGTGTTATCCAGCGATTAAAACATTTCATCAGATAATGACATTCGCCATTTACTTAATTACCTTCGATTTCTCCTATTACAGCATATAATGTTACAAAAAGAAACTTAACTCATTTTATCGTTCCGCGTGTACATAAAGTTGATAGTCACGAAAGAGATATGTCATTGAGATTCATTATGGTGGACCACTTATCTTAGGTCAGATTTTGAAGTGTGCCCGAATTCCAGTGGAACCTATTAAAACCATACCCGCCTCATTCAATCATAGCAATAGGGGTGTGTGTGTGTGCACAAGTTGTGACTGTGCACAATTGTTGAATGAAAGCAAAAATTAGTGGAAACTCTAAAAATTGCACACCAGCCAGGCCTCCAGGCCTCGATTTTACTTTTCATTCAAATCAAAACAACCTTCCATTTCCCATAAGAGCACGTGTGTTTGTGTGTGTGTGTGTGTGTGTGATTAATGTAATTATTATTCAACTTGATTGCAACGTTAGATGTGCAATGTCAGTGCTTTTTGGAACTTTTTGAATGGAAATATGCGTTAGCGGTGTTTTTTAAGGACAAATGGACTAACAAGGATTTCGAAACAGTTGACAACTCTGGATGCAACTTAGTTTGAAAGTGTTGCTTTACCACTTCCAGTCCCATTCAATCATTGGCATTTCTTCGAGGAGAGCTGATGTTGTAAATTGGTAGGCATATTCCCAGACCTCCGTATTTTGCGATTTGAGGAGTCTAGCGGGCACGTTACAGTTAAATAATGCAGGCTGAGTTTTGGAAGAGTGGAGATGTTCTGACCAATCACACAACATCTCACTAGGCTTGGGATGCCTAGCTCAATATTCACCTTCCAATCATAATTACATAAGTGTTATCAACTATTTTTGAATGACGGGGTGTACGAAAGACTTACCTCCACGGGGTGCGCCCTGGCCAACGTTTACTCATATGGAAAAAGTCTATTAACCGGCAGTTGACTTCTAACTACCATGGCCACAGTCGACCACTTCCACAGTACTCATCTTACATTTTCTCTGCCTTTGTGTCTGTCTGTCTGTCTATTTCACATCTGTGAATCTCTCTTCTGTTCCTCCTCTCCACTTTTTCTCACTTTGATGTTACTCCTCCTCTCGGTGAAGCCCGAAGTATCAAAACGCCTGCCATTTGAAATATATAAATAAATAAATAAATTTTTTAATGACGACAATAAATGTCTAGTCTGATATGGTCATGTTATGAAAACACTTCCATCTCCTCTTTCTCCCTCTGGGGGCTCCGAACAGTGGAAGTAGCTACCAATCGAAACCTCTTTCGCTGTCCCACTTATGCGCGTTTATTAATGTTGACATTGATTGTGGAGGATTTCCCCAAAATGTTTTCAATAATATTTTTTGACCCCTCCAAAATTAGATCATACTAAATATTTTTTTGCCGCGGCATATTCAACAGCATTTTTCCATGCACACTAAGTTGGTATTTAAGGAATATAGACTGATTAGCCAACAGTTGAATGAAATTATCTTAATTAGAAGCACTATTCAACAAATTTATGGTAAAATTGTTTATTTTTGTTGTTTGTCTAACAACAACAGCAATAAAATCAATGATATTTAAAGAAAAAGAGGCTTGTAGATGGAGATGTTTTTTGAGACGCTCAGCACTACCAAGGCTGAACAAAGCAATCTCTTGCACAATCGCACAGTCTGAAAGGTGTGACAGTGCTACTGACGACCTCATGATGACCAAGTGTTGACATGTGTGCAATGACCTCTCAGCCTTCAGTCACCTTCAATCAATAGACGCTGAATCGGGTTACAACACTAAGTCTATTGGCTCCAAGCGCTTGATATCCTCGATGCTGTTGAGGCAGATTAGTTGGTTTCGGGCTCGAATGTATACTTTTGAATTTTTTCGGAGAAGATTGTTGAGGTTAAGTCAAGGCCAATTTGTGTAGTAACAGATAAAGTCTTCGCACCACAGGCTAAAATAATCAATAATATCTCGGTTAACTAATCCCCCTCAAAGCGAAGGAATTGAATGGTTGAAATTTGTTTTTCTATTTACCATCAGCCAATCGAATTCCAAAGCGGAGTATTTTGATTCCTACTACTGTGCCATATGTCACATGACACAAATACTCCAAAGTTAATTGCCTTCATTACTGCACTGCGTGAGAGAGCTTATTTACCCGCATTTCGCAGACGCAACAGCAATAATAGTGGTTCATTTAATGGTTTGAATAATCACGCAAA